TCTGAATGGTTTGGGTAATGGTCATTTCTAAATAAAATTTGAGTAAAATCAGACTTAGAGCATTTGGATCAGATAGTAGATAGAATAGCCCTAAAACCTGTCTCCAAAAACTCTCCTCAGTGCTGAGTGCTAAATAACAGATTCTTTGATACAGCATATTTATTTAATTCACCCATGGAAAGCATTCTGCAGCACTGAAGACTGTTTTGTTCATGACATTTCTCTTCACTAATTCCTGAATCTGTAACATTTATGAAGACACCAATTCTTTTAATAATTCCCTAATTTTTCTGCACCTCATATGAAAGCATCCTAAGGTGGATCATTATTAAAATAATTCTTCCAACAGTAAATTTGTGTCCAGACATTAATCATGATGAGTAGTTTATGAGTATATGCATCACTGTCTGCAAATATTTATTGAATACCCACTGTGCTATATTAGTTGAGGTTCACAGATTTTCTGAAATAGGCAATATAAATTGATAAAGGTAAGTGATTCTTCAGCACACGTAGATTCTAGATCTCTTTGGAACAATAATGAAAGCTCCCTGCACGTCGTACACTTAGCTATTGTACATGATATTTACTGTTTAAATGTTTTGCATTTATTAACCTATTTCATTGTCACAGCAACCTGTGGCACAGAGGTTGCTATTAAGGCCATTTTAGGAGGAAGGTGAGTTACAGACAGATGAAATAACTTACCCAAGTCACTCAACTAGAACATGTTTTGATCCAAAAAATTGACTCCCGAAACTAAGCTCAAGCCCACTATCCTGCCTTCTCTGGGACTAAAGCAAAAAGGGAGTTTCCAATTTACATAATTCTAACTCCTGCTAAGTTATAAAAGTTTCTATAATTTAGCTGAAATTTAAATATAAATACAAATAAATCAGTCACCTGCATTATGTCCTGAAATTCACAGAAACCTCTGATTTTTTTTTAAAGGACTAGAGTCTTTTAAATTTATATTACTTTACTGTATATATTACTTTTTGCATGCCCACAAGACCTGAGACTTATTAAGGGAGAAAATAGGCTTAAATATACAGACTTCAGAGTCCCACACCAGGGATCAGATCCCAGTTCTGCCACTCATTATACAGATATCCTGCAGCAACCTCTCTTAGCCTTGGTTTTCTCATGTTTAAAATGGCTGTGTGCATCTCATAGGATTAAGTCAATCATCTACTGTAGGAACATTTAGTCTAATGCCTACTGTGTCCTAAGCACTCAGCCAATGTTAGTTGGAGTTGTTATCAGAGACAGTATTCCCATACTATCTGGCACAGGAAAGACATGGGAGTTGGCACAGGTGATTTAAGAGGTTTCTTTTCAATCTATCACAATAAGTGACTCTTCTTTAATCAACTTCAAAGTTCAACGAACTTCATCCAGGCTATTTTTATCATTGCTTATCTAATAACTGTCTGCTTCCTTAATTGCACGATTTTATTTTAAAAAGAACCTGGCAGACAATGTGATTCTAATGAGATCTTCCAGTAAAAAAATCTGATCTTAATGACTGATGTGGAGAAACCTATTGTGAGCAATCCACAGATGATTCAACACTAATTTGGGGTGTGAAAGCAGGACTAAGGTGGCAGTCACAATTAGTGATTTGAAAGTTCACATCTGTACAATGATATTTCATGGTTGCAAAGCAAGAAAACAAATGTTCCTGGGATAGTTTGGAATAACAGGACTGTTTCTTGCTTTTATTTGTTTACTGATAGTCTGGTGGATGGGGAAGACTGTGTAGAGATTGTCATCTGGTTTCCTGGATTGAGCTAAAATTATTTTTGAAGAGAAATACTTTTTCTGAACAAATAGTTTTGAGGTTTAAGATAGTCTGTCACCTGCTGAAGGCTGTGTATAGAAGATCAAGGACCTTTTGGAAATTTCAAAGTTTTACTTGTATTGCAGAATGTACCATTACAGTTGAAATTTCTTGGTAAGTGTTAGTTATTTAGGGTGTGTGTGTGTGTGTGTGTGTGTGTGTGTGTGCGCGCGCGCGCGCGCGCACTGCACACACAGACACTTAATAAATAAATCTTTTTTCCATTAATATGACATTTAGTTAAAGGAAGCATTATCCAACTAAATAACTGTGATCCAAAAAACCAGAATCATTCTCAGTTTATTCTCCTTCACTATTCAGTTTCTAAGGATGGAATTCAAGGTATTCAAATGTATCTTAAAATTGTTCTCTCCTTAATATTCCTATGGCCTTATTTTTTTGAAGATTCAGACATTCATGCATGTAGAAGCTGGATGAGAATCATAAATGGTAAAACCAGAACTCCTGGAAGTAATAGAGAGTATTACTGGCAAACTAGAAGCAAGCTGCCCTCAGTGGGAATCCAATCAGCAATGAGCTAAAGTAGATGTTTGAAATGTGCCTAGCATGGGAGCCAAAAAATATGTCAAAAATGAGTTGTATTTATGGACTAGCAGTTTGTAGCCTTTATTTTACACTCTTATCACTTCTGCATTGTGACTATGACTCTTGATTTCAGCTGCATTTTGCCTTATCCATGTTCTATACTGGCATCAGGTGATGTTTCCAAGTCTCCAAAGATAATAGCCTCACGCTTCTTTTGAAGAAAAAGTCTACATCATGACATTGAATCCTGCATAAGATGCAAGTTCAAATTCTCTAATCTCTTCTTATATTTTCTGTCTCACCTCTCCTCCTCACGTATTTATTATGCTCCAGAAATACCAATTATAAGCATTTGTCCAAGGACGTATTGTTATTGATGTCCCTGAGCTTGTTCTCTCTGCTTGCAATTTTGCCCTCACCTGGTGGCCATCATTCAAACCGCACTACTTCTGAAGTAACTCTCCAAAGCTTCTCCATTCGTGCACACTTGCTACAAAGGGGCCTGTAAACCAAATTCCCCTTCAATGTCTTATATGCTTCACATCAATTTGACTTTGTATTGTACTGCAGCCCTCTTTATTAATTAGCTTCCAACCTCCTTTAAGGTACAGAACTTGCCTGACTCTGCTGTTCTGCACAACACCTGACATATAGTATGTGTTCTGTACTTGTGTGTGGATCTCAGTATTAACTTGTCCTAGTAGGTTTTCCATAGTCTAATATGAAGGTGGTAAGAAAGAAATAGTTTTATGGACGTTTCTTGAAAGGACAAAAATTAAAGAAAATCCTTCAAGTCATTTAAGAACTATATGTTTTCAGGGCCTCCTGGTGGCCCAGTGGTTGAGCGCTGGGCTGTGAAGCTGCCCGCAGCCTCTGCAGTGCTGGTTCGATCCCCAGCTACTGGGTGAGGGTCTCACATGGCGCGCAGCTCTCTCCTGCTGCCCACTGCTCCCCTCAGCAGTGTACTTCATCACTCTGCCTGTTCTGTTCCCTGCTCTGGCTCTGGTGAATTCTCTCCAGAGAATTCACCTGCTTCTTACTGTACCCCAGTGCTTGTGTAAATAAATAAATAAATCTTTAAAAAAAAAAAAAAGAACTATATGTTTTCAGATTGACTTCATTCTAGGAATTTCCAATTTGGCTTAATCAAGCAGAAAGCACTGTTTCGGAAATTGGGGGGAAAAATCCCATAAATCCCAGTTGTGGGTTGATTTCAGAAAGCAAAAATATATGTGGTGTCACCCATCTGTTGACTGATTGGGCCATATTGGGCAGTATCTTCACTGGTTGTGTTTAATGGGCATTTATATAGTTTGGATCATGATGTTGTTTGAAGCAATCTTCCCTTTATACTACACCAGGCATATGGTTCATAATTTTTTGACCTGTGTGATTTATGTGTCTGTTTTCTACTGCTTTTGTTTTGATATCAGAAGCCGTTAATCCTTCAAAGTCCTACAGTTGTAATGTTAACTGCCAGCAGAATTGATTTGTAATTGGCATGAGAGTATGCTTCAACCATTTTATTATAATTCTGACTTGTTTTTGAATAAGCACTTTTTTTTAATACTGAAATGTTCATAGAATTTCCCCTAACTTTTCAACAAAGATATATTCACTCTAATGTAGTCCTTTGAGTTTATTTCTTTGGCTTTACATAAACCTTTTCATTAAGGTCGGTATTTAATGACTCTTAGTTTCACTGCTATTGAAATACAATTAATAATTATTACTTCTTTGATTATTGTACTTTAACTTGTGTAGATACCAATGGTGGTTGTATAGATGTGTGTAACATGTATGTATGCAACATATATACATATGTGCATATATACACATATACAGAAACATATTTTTGTGTGTATGTGAGCATGCATATTAGGGGAGAGCCAGTTGTATCTCTTTAGTCAATTCACTTTATTTTTAATTATCCTTTATGTCTTAAGAAGAAAACCTAGTTAAAGACTAACTTGAGGGTTACAATATACTGTTATTTCACTTGTAGATTATTATAATGACAGCTAATGTCATCACAGCCATTTTTTATACTACAGGCCTTTAATGGTCTTAGAGTATACTTCAATTTTTGCATAATTAATAAGAATAATGTAGAATTAAGTTTTGATAGAATTTATGATGATAATTTGGTACCATTAAACCTTTACATGCTTTAAAAAATTGGATAGGCATATTAGTTTGGGTTGGGTATGTAGGGTTAAGATGACATGAAGCTGAAATTACTGAAAAGAAAACAATTAGGGATACGGGGTAAGTTCAAATACATCTTAGCTTATCTACTAAGAAACATGCACACCTCACTAAATGTGTTTGCAAAGAAATTCAAGTCTCAGGAAACAAATGATGTAACAGTAGCTCATGTGAGCTAATTCATTTTTCTTTACAAGACTTGCAGGCGATAAGTCCAGAAGCTACTTGTGATTTGTTTTTGTTTTTTAATCCCATCATTTCCCCTAATTTTGAAATAGTCCATGATTCTGACTTCACTTAGGGAAATCAAGCACTATTCCACAGCATGCTAAAATCCCCCTTGTAGACTACAGAAAAGCCTAGGCATTAGCTCGCTAACATTGGAGAGCTTGCTGTTTTTCAGGGAATGATGTACCTGGAAGAAAGACGGCTTGTTCATCGGGATTTGGCAGCCCGCAATGTTTTAGTGAAATCTCCAAACCATGTGAAAATCACAGATTTTGGACTAGCCAGACTTTTGGAAGGAGATGAAAAGGAGTATAACGCTGATGGAGGAAAGGTGGGTATCTTTATAAGAACAAAATCATCTGAAAATATAGTATGAGATCTTTTTATCTCCTTATATTTTATAGGAGGAAGTCAATAAACCTGAAGTTTATATAATCCCATTTGTACCATTTGCATTTTTCTGTCCAGGGTAAAAATATATAGGTTATATATTATAAAATTATATTTCTTCTTTTTTTTAAAAGATTTATTTATACAAGAACCCGGATACAGGCCAGATGTGGGGGAGGGTGAGAGGACTCACCAAAGACAGAGTGTGGGAACAGAACAGGCAGACTGATGAAATACACTGCTGAGGGGAGCTTTGGGCAAGACAAGAGAGGTCTACTCGCCATGTGGGTATCTCCACTGCTGGCGGTGATCAAACCGGCACTGCAGAGGCTGCGGTCAGCTTCACAGTGCTGTGCTCAACCACCTACGCCACCAGGGAGGCCCCAAAATTATATTTCTTAAAAGTGCTTAAATTAGACAACGTTGTCAAAACCTAAGTGGACTTTATGTCATTTCTCTATCACGATGTGGGTGGATCCTTAGAAACTCTAGAAATTGAACTTTAATCCAGAGCCACAGAAATAGTTTCCTTGATCCTAAAACCATAGAACTCTTATTGAGTCAGAGACACAGCTTCACTCTCAGGCTAGCGAAAAGCTTTGCTGCAACCAAGAACCATAACTCATCTGAAAGTTGACCATTGTATTTAATTTCTAATCTTCCTGCACCAGGTATAACAGTTTCTTCCTATCTGGCTCTTCCTCTCTCACTTTTTTTTTTTCTTTTGCTTTTATATTAGTGCATGACTTACCAATTTATTTTATTTATAATTTGCCTCACTTCACTATAATGTAAACTACTATGGTCCAAGAGTATGAAAAATACCATTGCCTCTTCTACCTTTCCTAACTCTCTTGTCTCAGACCCAGAATGACAACTGTGTTCCTCTTTGTTTCACTACCATGTGGTCTCAGTCCATGTTTTAGTTTCAGTTCTTGTTGTAACTCATCAACCCACTATTTAACATATGTGTATTCATATGCCATGCAAATGTGCTTATTATGTGCCTTATTTATCATGGGCCATCCAAATGCACGTTAATATGTTGTGGTGATAAGCTTCACAATGTCTAGCAAGATTTTTATATTTATATCTCTATAGCAATATAAAAAATATATGAATATTCAAAACTTATCACAGGCAAAAGAACACAACATTTATTTTAATTAATTTTTTAAATTTTTCATTTATTTTTATTATTGAGCTACCATTGATGTATTATCTATATATGATTTACAGGTATGGATTCACAATCACCAGACCATACCCAACACCAAAGCACCCATATCCCTTCTCATCACCAGGCAAAAATACACAAAATACAATTTTTTTAAAAAAACTTCAATTTTGTAGTATTATCTGGTTTTCCTTTATTTTTATCTATTTACTACCAAATCACAGAAGTTTGAGATCACAGCTTTAAAACTGACTACAAGATTTCATGGAAGGAGGAGAAGTCCATAAATCACATGACTTCACTTGTCTTGAGAACATACAGCTGTAAGGTTTGTCTAAAGCAAGATTCATTACAGCTTTAAATGCCTACTAACCATTAAGTCTTTATCAAGCCACCTATGATTTAAACTTACTTCTTTAACACAATGTCTGTAGTCCATAAAGTCTGCTAACTCCTTGCCCATAGGGAAATTACTTTCAATGTGTCTTCTGTTCCCTTTCACTGAATACCATGATTCTGTCATAGAGTTACCTTGGTGTCACCTTGGTGAGCAGCCAACCTCATGATTTCAAAGTCCTATTTAGTTTTAAGCTTTCAACTGCAAAGTAGAAGTGTTTATCTTTATTCCATAAAATCTAATTATATTCCAGCTACATAATACTGCCCTTAGTCGTTGCAACTCATTCTGCTGAACCAACATCAGCAGGTTATGTGGATTGAATTTTTTTTTTGTAGTGATGATGGATTTGTGCTGATCCTCTCACATTCTTTTATAGAAATCCTATTTTGAAATTGGTACATATTTCTAATACTGGCTAACCAAGACAAGGGAGATCATCTGTGACTGGCAAACAAATTAAGGCTAACTTTGGAATTTGTTATTTTGGGCATTTATATGAAATTACATGAGAGGAAAAGGGAGGAGACATAGATAGAATGTATTTTACCAATTACTTGGAATTTGTCTGAGAGTGAAAAGAAATAACTAAAATAACTAGAAATGTAAGGAATCTCATTTTGGGGAAAAATAAAATATAGCAACATTTTTAGAAGAATGTGTGTTAGATGTTTAGTATCAGAATGTGTTATAATATTAACCAGTAGCTTAATTAATTACTAAATATTAATTAAAAACTATAGAAAGTGATATTATTTTACTTTCATTACTTATGATACTTTTAAAAATTATATATTTATATATGATATATATCAATTCATTTTATACATTTGATAAATTTTAATTCACGTATTCCTTAAATTGAAAAATAATATATTAAGTAAAATATGCATAGTTATAGGCATAATCTAAAAACACAACTGAGGCAAGTCTAGAGATTCACACTTAGGAAATAAATATGAATATAGTTTTTATGTAACTATACAACTTTCACTTCATATTTCTCTATAGATGCCAATTAAATGGATGGCTCTGGAGTGTATACACTATAGGAAATTCACCCATCAGAGTGACGTTTGGAGTTATGGTAAACAAATTTTCTTTGTGTATTAAGGTTTTCAAGGCAAAAGTAAATATATTAGATTTATGTAAAATATCTAAGTCAAATAATTTATTATATTGGAAATGCCTATTTCTAAACCCTTCTTCCTAAAGGAATTAACATTTTATTCTTTGGGTTTTATTTTAATAACCCTCTAAGTAGTATTGTGATCTTTTTATTATTTCTTGGTTCTTTAAAATGTTCTTTTAATATCTCTGTTGAGATGCCTACGACTGTCTTTAATTTAATAGCAACACATGTGATCATTTTGACAGAAAAATATTATCTCATTTTAGTTTGGAGGCAATTTCATAGAATGTCACAGTCTTAATTTTCAACTGTTGTTCGAAAACGTAATTAACGGCAATGAATATCAAAACTTTTCTTTGTTTTGCTTATGGGGATTTCTGTTTCCTAGTAAGGAACAGATAATTTTTATAACAAAGAACAATTACTGAAAACTCTAAGGTGAGGACAATAAATATGGAGGAGAGATAAGAAAAGACCACTAATTGCAGCTTAGGTTTTAATTCACAAGCTACATTTATAGTAAACAGATTTATTGAAGAGTGAGTAATATGAACTGGGAAGAGTGATTTTTTAAGTTAAAACATTTATGTAAGTGCATTTAACTCAGTTGTTGAAATAAACTACTTAACATCTTTCTGGCTATTGACAACTTAAGTCCATCCAAGTATTAGTAGAAGGAATCAACACCTTTCCTACAATTAGCTATACCATAGAGACTAACATTTCTTACAACAACAACAAAAATGCTAGCAATTAAAAGGTAGTGGTGGTACTTAAAAGTTCGGAACAATTTATTTTACTCAAATTTAGGTTAGTTTTATCTTTATTTAAAAAAGGTAAATCATTAAATCACATATAAATAAAGTATACCTCTTATCTACAAGATAGTAAATGATCTTTAAAAAAAATTAAGACATTTTTATAAAATGGTTCCCTCCCATCACACATATATATGCTATAAGAGGTTTTAAAATTTTTATAAAGGCCACATGTGTTCTACGCAGCTTAGCAGTAGAAAGCATTGTGTGTTTGAAGTTTATAGAAGTACAGGGAAATGTTTGACAAAACTGGGTTGTTAAGCTGTAAGGATTAAAGAGGACTGAGTCTGCCATCTATATTGTATATATTGTATATAGATGATAGATCTGTATGCTAATATATGCATTAACATGTGCATAGCATTTATCATATGATACAAATTAGTGAATAATGTATGATATAGATTTAGACATTTTATGTGTTAAGTATATATTATATATAATATATTGTCATGTATCTTTTTTTTTCTTTTCCTTTTTCCATTTCCCTGAATTAGATGTGGCAATCTGCTGCAGGCAAATTTTAAATGACCTCTAAAACAAATTAAATAAATGTTATTTACTCTAACAAAAGAAAATGTTGATAATGTGGTCATATTTGTAATAGTAAAATTTATCTTTGGGGGAAAATCCTGTTACTCAAGTTATCATGTTCATCTTCATGTTGAGTTGCAAAATCTCAGTTGCTATTCAGTAAAAATAAATAATAGATAATAAGAGATAGATAGGTAAGTAGGTAGATAGGTAGATAAGTGGAGAGAAAGAATTCTGTTTTGAAATATAGTCTAGGTCATAAACACATCATTAAGGCATTTTGAGATTTTTTTTTAATTCATTTTTTTTTTAAGATTTATTTATTTATTTATACAAGCACTGGGTTCAGTCAGAAGCGTGGGAGGGTGAGAGAATTCACCAGAGCCAGAGCGAGGAACTGAACAGGCAGAAGGACCGAAGTACACTGCTGAGGGGAGCAGTGGGCGCGGCAGGAGAGATCTGCGGGCCATGTGGGACACTTGCCCGGTGGCCGGGGATCGAACCAGTGCTGCAGAGGCTGCAGGCAGCTTCACAACCCAGGGCTCAACCGCTGTGCCACCAGGGGAGGCCCCATTTTGAGGTTTTTTTAATGATATATCATACTTGACTACAAAAGACATATATGCAGAGAAAGTTGCATAATCTTGTTTACAGTACACTTTTGTGGGAAACTGCCACCGGGTACAGCTTTATTTTTGTAAAAATAAATATACATCAACTATGGTTTAGATCTTCAAATGATAGGTTTGCGTTGTAAGTTTTGAGTATGTTCCCAATTCAGTTTTCCCAACATGTCCTTCTACCTGAAGCCATATGTTTAGTCATCTTGTCATCACTCTTACAAAGATATAATTGGTCTATTATTGGCAGAAATGGGTGTTTTGATGTTTCTGCTTTTGTTTTGTATTAATATTTGTGTTTATGGTATTTTCTCTGTTATTTTGATTTGTAATTGTTTTGTATATTGCTTATGTTAGAAGTTCTAATAGAGAAGTGAGAGTCTCTTTTCTGTCTTTTATACAGCATACATAAGGTGATAAAATGTTTGCATATATATAAATATGATTGACTAAATAGAAATAGACAGTTCACCACAATTAACTTGCCCTGCCCTACCTCATTTTTTCTATGGAAACATTCCTTAATATGCATAATTAAATAGAATCAAATAAAGATCAAACAATTAAATCAGGCCACTAGTTACATGTTTGCATTATATTATTAATCATAAAATTGAAATATTAGCCAAAATTATTAGTTAATTATTAATGATTCTATTATGAAGGGTAATTATAAGTTCACATATACTTTTATCTTTTTAGCTTTCTATAATTTTTATCAGTCAAAGATAGCTGTTAAGAGAAAAAAAAGACTAAGTTTGAATAATTTATTACAGATAGCAGTAGGAAAGAAATCTTAGATCTTATAATATAAAATCAATTTTCATATTAAGGCACTCGTATAGATGCATCAAACAAAATTCACTTGGTAATGCTGCTGTGCACAGATAGCTATTTCTAAACTTACACAATCTTTATCCTTCAGAAAAATGTTTTTTAATTATATAATTATTAAATAATAAAGAAGAAACCTTTACCTTCTTATAAGTAATATATAAGTCATTGCTCCTATCAGTATCTATTCTCATAATTGACTATTTGCATGATAATATTTAAGACATTTGCTTTTCAAGAGTAAATAAGTGTATAGTGACTCAAGAAAATCATTTCATTATGTAAGGAATAAAATTATTTATTCCCTTCAATTTTGTGATACACACTTCACATGTATTATATCTTATATATGGATCATTCCTCCTCAGGCTCTCACATATGCTAACGATATGGGTTGCTTGACTCCATTTGTTCTCTTTGGTTTATTCTTATTTAAAATGAGAGCCTCAATTCTTGACCATAACATAAGGGCATTATCCTGGAAGACCAGTTTAGTCTTTAGGACTTTTAATGACAAAGATGCCAGGCTCAAAATTTGTCAATATCAGATTTTGCCGGTAATCATCTTTATCTGATACTGAATATTCATAGTACATAGCAAATTGTTTAAAAAACTTACATATTGTGAGTGAAACTTAACTTGGGTCAGCAAGCAGCATTATTTATATGTAGAAGCAGGGAATAGTTTTGTAATCTGATATCCACTCTGAATTTTCTCTTTTACCTATTAATAATTTCTTTTTTTTTTTTTTTTAGAGGCATGTTTTATTTGTTTGTTTGTTTTGTTTATACATGCACTGGGTACAGTCAGAAGCGCGGGAGGGTGAGAGAATTCACCAGAGCCAGAGCGGGGAGCAGAGCAGGCAGAAGGACCGAAGTACACTGCTGAGGGGAACAGCGGGTGGCAGGAGAGGTCTGCGCGCCATGTGGGACCCTCCTCCAGTGGCCGGGGAGCAGCCTGGGATCGAACCGGCGCTGCAGAACCTATTAATAATTTCAAGACAATAATTAAAGAATTGAATTTCCCACCAAAATTTTGGCATTGGATTTCTCATCGTAGAAATAAGAATCTGAAGACTGCTCTCTAGGGAATTGTCTCTTGCCTCCAGCATATTGTTTGTTTGTTCAAAGTATGTTGTTAATGTTCTTACTTAAAATCTGGTGTCCAATGTAGGAGTCACTATATGGGAACTGATGACCTTTGGAGGAAAACCCTATGATGGAATTCCAACCCGAGAAATCCCTGATTTATTAGAAAAAGGAGAACGTTTGCCCCAGCCTCCAATCTGCACTATTGATGTTTACATGGTCATGGTCAAATGTAAGTTCACAAAATAATTTTATGATCACCATCATCATTGTTTTCAGTAAAGTACATATTAGTCAAACGGGACAATGTTTCTGTATTTTGAAAAATACAAGAATTTAAAAATAACTAGAAACATTTTTGGTTGATTATTGTTTGTTTGTTGTGATTATTGTTCATTTAAAACAATATCATATTTCAATGCTATGAAGTCAACATTATGCCCTTTACTCTTATTGATTTCACTTAGATTCTTATTTTTATGGCAATCAAATTGTCATGGAGAGATTCAATTAGTCACAATAATTTTATTAATCTTTTTGGTAAATAGCGGACTGACTAAATGGTGTAAAGAAAGAATGCTTGAACCTGATAGTTAAAATATGATTTTAATGGTTTTAATAGTCAATAGTAAATTAGCAGGGCAGAATGGGAAGTGAGATGAAGTGAATCTACATTGAACCGAAAAGATTACGAATGTTTACTTTTTTCAATTTGATCATTTGTTTACATCTAACTCTTTTGCTTTTTTCCCTCCTTACTATGCCCCAGACACATAGGTATTATAAATGTGTTTTGGAAGCCTATGCTCTTAATTTAAATAGAATTAGAGAAGTCTCTGGAGTTTCTGACTTAATTTAAGTGAGATTAACATTCAGCAATCTTTCTTGTGTAATCTGGGGTTTTCCCCTTTTGGTTTACACAGAGTTAGCAAAGAAACAAACTGGTGAAGGTGAATAAGCATCTTATTAATAAGAGACTTTGGACCCAGGTCTACTCAGATTTATATTCATGACATGTGTGATACATTCTGACAGGAAGAGAAGAAATAAAATATGTGCTCTCACTTCAGGTCAACATGCCCTTTTCTCTAAGCATCATTCTATTTACTCAATATTTAGTTAGAAAGAAACTGATACCTCACTGCAAAGTTAACCTTTTTTGGTTCCAATAGTTCCAGAAACACCTTTTATTCTCATTAGCATCTTGGCATAAAAAGCATTTTCTCAAAAAGTAGATGCATGTAGAATGTAAATCATCTGTGCTTTATTTGGAGAGAAAAAATTCCTATGATATTAATGATAAATAGAATGACAGAAAAAAATTTCTCAGAGCAAGAATGAAAATTGAACTAGAAAAATTAGAAACAAAGCTTTATAACTTTACTGGATCAATTACTATTCAGTAAATATCTATGGAAGAAAGTTCAAACACATATATGCATTATATATTTGATCCCATAACTAGCATAGAAAATGATGTAGATACCTCATGTAGATACACTGATAAAAGACTGTAAAGTCAGGGAAACATTTTGCCTAATAGGGAGTTTTACCTTGCCTTTAAGAATTTTAATACCTATGAAGAGGGCCATTTGGCAAGAAAATCAAGAAAAGCTTGGTGCTGTTATTTTTGTCATCTCATCAGCAAGCAGAGCCTAGGGAGATAAGACCCACTTTACCTAGACTGCAAGCTAAATAATAATACATACCTTGAAAATTGCTGACAGTGTATTTATAGTGGAAAGGCTAGTATTAAGATAAGCTAATAACTATTATAGAATAAACATTACCAATCAGTTTGCATTAGTAATTTTTTCCCACCAGGAGAAAAGCATCATGAGATGTTGCATCCCTTTCCCCTTTAAGCCAATGTACTGCTTTGTAATCGAAGCTCTTTTGCTGATGTCACTCCTGATACAAAATGACAAATTATATTTCAATCACCTCTTCTATAATGATCAAGGAAAAATCTTAAAAATTCACTCCACATCAAATGAAAAAGAAATCTGAGATTCTACAGTTCCTTTTATTAGCATAGGTTATATTTTCTAGAAGAAAAATTATTTTTTAATTTGTTCAACAAAATAAAATTGTGTTATTCTACAATGTGTTACTTTTAGTGATGAGTATCAACAACTGATTGATACAGAGTCAAACTACTGGGTTGTTTCTTTCATTAACTTTCTTTCTTCTCCAGATCATTATTATTAAAGCAATATGTTTTGATCTTTGCTTATACTTAGTAAAATCTGCCTCTAAATTCTTCCTGATTGTGGTTAGAGTGACTCTTTCTTCGCATGTAAATTTCTAGGTTGGATGATTGATGCTGACAGTCGACCTAAGTTCAAGGAACTGGCTGCTGAATTTTCCAGAATGGCTCGAGACCCTCAAAGATATCTGGTTATTCAGGTCAGTACATATAACTTAGATTTTAAAGAACATCCCAATGCAAACATAAGAGAAAATATGAATATATCTGGACTTTAGAATTGTGAAAATAACCAGTTACAAATTAAACAGATTATCATATGAAACAGCTTATGGAAAAGAGCCTTTACTTGATGTCAGAACCACTTTTGAGTATCTTCCTTTAGTATTCAAGTGACTGCTATTAAATCATCAAATAATTATGATTATCCATATACATATTAAAGCCTTTATCCTCTGACAGGGTTTCTAGCTTTCTGCCTCTTAATGAATGTTTTGTGTAAGTTATATTCATTATAATAATCCTCCCATTTCAGAATAATAGGAAGATGGATTTTTGTTTTAATTGTGCCCCTGGTTAAAAACAATAATGGATTGGATAATTTTAAAATTGTAATATATTTCTCTATCATTCTTTTTACCAAAATCATAAACAAGTGGACCTTGGAATACACTGAATTTTATTTCTCAATACACATCAATAATCACATGAAGATAAAAACTAGATTTTAGAAGATAGTGATTTCTAGCTACCTTTTTCCCAAATTAACTTTTTTAAACTAAAAATATTTATGGCAAAATCATATAACTTCGAGGATTAAAAAATATGTTTCTCCAAAGGTTTTGATGTCTCTCACATCCCCATTTGTTTTTTGCCACTTGTGTTATGATTTCACCTAAAAATGTTATGCTATTAAACTATGTAGTCTATGTGTCTTGATAATGTTACACTATCAAATCTACTGAATTAAGTAAAAAAATCATTATTTTTTCATCTATTCTTATGTCACTGTTCAAACTCCATCTTGGCAACAGAACCTCCATTATTCTCAGATCTATGGCTCTCTCAAAACATCATAGTATTCTGCTTTATTCATTTCATATTTTTCCTGTATAAAATTTATTAATCTCATCCTGTCATATCCAAGCATATTGTAGCCTTTTTTATGACAAGCAGTAATGCTAAAGAATTACTTTAAAATGACTATATGAATTTTAATCATTTATTTTGATATTACATATATTTACTACAAAAACCATATATTTAAGAAAAAGGAAATAATCACTTTTTCGTATGTTTGATGATCAATCCTTTAGGGCGATGACCGCATGAAGCTCCCCAGCCCCAATGACAGCAAGTTCTTTCAGAACCTCTTGGATGAAGAGGATTTAGAAGATATGATGGATGCTGAGGAATACCTGGTCCCTCAGGCTTTCAACATCCCACCTCCCATCTACACTTCCAGAGCAAGAATTGACTCTAATAGGGTAAGTCATTGTATATTACCTATCATACCATTGTTGAGAAAACTGCTAAATTGTAGAATAATTATATAGCTCAGATCTGTGTGATTCCAAATTTTAAAACATAATCATCAAAAAATATGTCAAACCTGCTCTATATAGTTAATTTCAAAGACAAGTTTGGACAGTACAATATGCACTCTGAAACAGTTTCAAGATTTCACAAGAAAAAAATGTAGTTTTTTGTATTATATTAGTTAAAAAAAATCTTAATTTTTAAAAATCTAAAACTAATTCTAATAAAACAATTTATGTTTATAAATATATAAAATGTGTTAACAAGACAGACTTTCTACTTATCTTCACTAATAAGATGTTATGACTTTTACTCACTTAACAAAGATTACATATGTCCAGTCAAATTGAAATAGATACAGAAGTATGTAATTCATTGAACTAAATCATATTGGGAAGAATGCTGAGTAGTTTTTAAGATGTAGATTTAAGTTTGGAAAGAAGCTTCTGAAAAATATTTACATTCATTTTAAACATTATGTTCAATTTATATGAATACCATTCTGTCTCTGAAAACTGTCAATCCACGTATTTATTTGTTTGTTTTAAAGATTTCCTCCATCATTCATTAAGCATAATGCCTTTGCATGTGAGACATTATTAGACATTTGAAATTCAAATAATTTTTACAAAAACCCTGCTCTCAGCAAGCGTTCAGGTTTATGAAAGAGTCACACAGGAAGGGAGACCACAGCACTGCATAAGTGTCATAACAAAGTGTTCATTGGCTGTTATGGAGCATGGAGAAGCAGTAGAGTATGTCTAGAGTCAATTTCTTCCATCAATAATACTTAAGTGTTATGCTTTCTTTTCTCTAGAAAGTAATTCTTAATCTCCTCTCGCACCTAGAAAACTATCTTTCCCATTTGTGGAGTGGGTGAACCAAAATGCATCTTTTGTTTCAATTTGCACTTTACTTCTTTCTGATGTGCTAAGAAATAATTACATAACAAATTTGATTGCCCCTCCTTTTTTGTCCTTCCTGCTAAAATCGGTATTTAAATAAGGTGAAAACTGAACATAATGTTGTCAGAGGATGTTGAAGGATGAAAAAAATGAGTCTGGTTTCTTAAAATTTTCATCATTTTTTAAAAAATAGAGTATAGACTGAATATTTGACTTCTCAGAAAAAGTTGCTATATATACTTTAGTTTGTACCACTGTCACTTTTCCCTCAGATTAGACTTCATAACTTTTATAATGACATTTTAGTTAGGTTACCACACTCGTGGTAATTACCTTTGAGATTTTTATTAAACTAATCCAAAGAAATGGAAATATAAGAAACCTTTGGTCTCCTCTGTAAGATTTATGATAATGCACTACATATACTTCATAATGATCTATAAGTTGTATAAACTCAAGCAAAATGATAATGCTGAAATAATAACATTGTTCTCTATATGACAGTTGAAAATATGACAGTTTCAATTAGGTTTCTCTTTATAGTTCAGTAATCAAAACCATGACTTGTTATTTTATGAAATAATAATAGTAATAGTAATGTCAGCTAAAGCTTGTTGGGTGCTTACTTTAACCCAGGTACTGTAAGTGTTTTAAATTATTTCACTTTTATTTTATAAAGTCCCAATTTAAGAGGTAAAAAAATGGCAGCTCATTTAGATAACATACAAAAAATTAGGGATAACAATAGAAATTGAGTTCAGCTTTCACCAATCCCACATGGTGACTATGGTTCTAGAATAACAGAGGGGTTTATTTCACATTGCTATTACTTTTTACTACTTACAGAACTAACACTTCTATTCATTTAAAGGTAATTGAATAAAAGCAAATAAGTCAGATGTCAGGAATCTCATATTCTAGAAACAAACTTTTGACATGGCCACGTTGGTCCGATAACTCAGTGAGACTCAGTTTCTATACTTCAGTGATGAACATTTTAAACTAGACCACCTACCAGCTCCGCCCACTCTAAAATTACCTTATCAAAGGATGACTTTCAAATTAATTATTACAATGTATGCATTTGTATTATATACTAGAAAAAATTAATTGAGTTAAATTAAATAAGTACCAAAAAGCATTTTGGTTATCTCTAACACAATGTCTTTATGTGATTGAACATAGAAGAAAATAACCTAAGGACACAAGTTAAGGAAGTATCTCAAAGCTAAATGATGTAGTGAAGAATTTTGTGATGATAAACAAGGTAACTCTGGCTACAATTTAGTAAGGATCAATATCAGTTCTAACAACAGCTGCTACTTGATGATAAATTATTGTAGTCTCAGGATATTGGTTTTACAGTTCATCCAAAATATGTCAAGGATTCCTGTACTATATCCCTGGTATGATGTTTGGGATTATTTTTTAAACCCATTAAGCCAGAAGGAGTTCTTAGTTAAACATTTCACAACACCAAGTACTTTTTGTTTCAAAGTTTTCCCCTCTAAGTACTAGTCTTTTACATTTTTCAATTTATTATGAAGAAGGAATACATACATTAATATGTTGAATGCTTATCATGGATTAGGCATGACATAGTTTGCAAGACATAGGTTTTGCCCTCAAGGAGTTTATACTGTGGTTGAGGCTATAATATTCTGAAAGCTATCTACCAGCTATTATGAAAAAAAAAAAAAGTCAAACCAATTTATGAATCTAGAGTCATTTTAGCTCTATCATTATTGGGGAATGAAGAACTAACTCAGAGTAGAAGTGGAATTTTGGTTGGGAAGTCAGAAGAGAGATTAAAATAAACCTCCCCCAAAATAAAGTTATGGATTTTAAAATCAATTCATGGTTACTGGAAGAGAAGGGGGATAGGGTATTTAAATCAGAACAAAGGGGATAATGGTATGGGAAGAAGAGAGCAATCCATTTGGTGATGGATGTAATGTAGTATACACATGTTGATTCTCAATGATGCATGCCTGAAATATACATAATGTGATAATGCAATGTTTGTTCACTTATGAAAGTAAAAACAAACAAAATTCAGCATTAGCAAAGGCAAAGAGAGGTTTTTAGGATTAATGTGAACCCTGGTTTCTATAATATTCTGAATTATACATGTTTAATAACTCTCATATTTTTGGAGGAGGTAAAATGGACCTTCTTCTCCCATTGTCCCAATTTTTGTCAGTGTTATTAAGGCTTATAATATTGGCTTTGGAGGCTCTTGCTTCTCATTAAGATCAGCCAGTTAAAAAATTCTTTTTGGCCTTTCTGAAAAACAGCTCTCAATTTCTGTCTTCTGCTTCTCCTCCCATGAATCTAAGATAGGCCCTCATCACTGCACAGGAATTATTTCAATCTCTCCCTAACTGACACACATTTTTTTTTTCCGAATTAACTCAATTTCTAAGAATGTTTCCATTTGATCAACTGAAGAACAATATTGGTGAATATTTTGAGCACCTGATCATTTATCAACACTTATTCCTTTCATATTTTTTGTTCTCATCTATTTAGAGTACCTCTATCATTTTCATCAATGGGGTAAGCGTGAATGATCTATGTTTTAGTATTTCTCTCTTTATATGATATATAATCCTATTATCACTAACAGCTGAAGGGTTTTGAGGCATTTATGCTAGGAAATGCTATGGTCATTTCCAGTTGACCAGTCAATGTAATTTATTTTTCTCTACTCTCTAGCTCACACACACAAAATTGCACAGAGCTGCAAGTATTATCCCATCATTGATCTCTTCCAAAATATAGATCATGTTGATGCTTTTTTGTTTTAGTTTGGAAGTATGGATGGGTAGCTGATTTATTTTAACAAGAGCTATCTCTCCTATGTATTTGATATTTGTCTTTTTTTCTAAATGAAAACATAATGTCAAATGGCATTCTTTTGCTCTTCCAAGTTCTGAGAAATTACAGGGATATTAAAAAAATGGTTTTATGACTGATTTTCCACTACCCATTACCATTGTAAATAATTAATTTATATACATTAAAATATCAAATGAACTTGTACAGTCTTTACCAGTGGATTTCTTAAAATATGGTTATATAAATTTGTATTACTCTTTGTAAGCTTTATTGCTTTAATAGTAGCTATACTACTTATGTAATCTTTATTAGTTTTTACATTGCTATTAATTTTTATTTCTCCCTGATTTCCTAAGATATTCAGAGTTATTCATAACATCTCATTAGACACCATGATAAAGCCTCTATAGTACCAATGCTGGATTTTTCATTTATACCTCTATTTAAGAATGGCAGACAAATGATTTCTCATTTAAGTAAGAGAGAGATAATTTTGACTTCTTTCTCAAATCATGTCTTCAGGTATTACAGAAATCACTTCCTACAGATTTTAACTTTGGGTAGTACCTCCTCTTACAGTACAAAATTTCCTGTACAGTTGCTTCTTTATTTTTGGGGGGAATCTGCTTTCTCTGTTGGCAAGTGATTGCCTATTTTTCCTCAACTCTTTTCCCATAATAAATATTATTCTTATTCCTTCCCTTTCTAATTTTGTAAACAAGTCTAGCCTTCCATATGTATAAAACTAAATATTAATACTTACAAATACATGCTTGCACATGTAATAGAGGTGAAGTGTTTTCTATAGTATGGTGAAACTAATTTTCCTCCCTTTGGGCACAAGCGCCAATACTATTTTTTAGAACTTCCTGGCCTCAAAACTCATGGCAAAAAAGAGGTTGGCCGCAAATACAAATAAATAAATAAATAAATAAATAAATAAATACATACATACCAGCATGTTGTTTCTTATACATAAAATTTTACACTCCCATTTACACACAGGCAACATACTCTCCTTACCATGTGGAAAATGTAATCTTCCCTCTCCTGTGCCATTGTCTTTTGCTTCCTTTCCCTAGGAATATATGTTTTTTCTCTACAAGTTTGTTTCAAGGAGATTTTCCTTGAATAGAAATATAACGAGTGTGGTTTGTTCTTGGCCCAAGTACAGAGATCAACTCTAAGTATAGTCATTTACA